GAATCACACGATAAGAAAAATAAACAGTTTTTAAATATATTTTAAAATTTTAAAATAAAATATCAATTACAAACAATACATTATACATCCGAAAAAAATATGGGGATTGTTAAAACTGGGGAAGCTACTGACTAAGGAAGCAGCCATGGGAGAAAAGCTCCAAGCTTTGAGTTCAAAGCAAACAGCTTGGCAATGAAAGAAAGAGAGGGGTTTGGCAACAAAAAAAAAAAAAAAAAAGAAAGAGAGTGGTTTGGCAAAAAAAAAAGGAAAGAAAGAGAGTGAACTGGGATGGGAAGGAGGCGGTAGAAGAAAATGAGGATAGATTTACAAAAATGCTGAAGAGAGAGAGAGAGAGAGAGAGAGAGAGAGAGAGAGAGAAATGGAGTACTGAGAGAATCAGGGGAAGAATATGAAGGAGGAAGAGACAAAAGAAAAGAAAGAGAAGAAGAAAAATAAAAATAAAAAACATTAAAAGAAAGAGATAGATTTATAAAAATGCCCTTGTGCTTAACGGGTTGCTAACGGGTATTCGCGAATTGACACGACACGACACGATAGCTTAACGGGTTGCTAACGGGTCAATATGATATCAACACGACACGATAACTCAAACACGAATACTGAATTTTTCGTGCGAATTCGTGTCGTGTTAACGGGTCGTGTATAATATTGCCAGGTCTATAAGCAACTAACGGATAAACCTAACGGCAGAACCACATTGTAACAAATTTAAAAAATCAGGGTATGTGATTGTTAAAATTAAAAAGATAAAGACTAACATGTCTTAAGGGTGTAACTACAGGATACTAAACTGTAATTAACCCTATAATTAATAACAACCTAATTTGAATTGAAAAAGAAAATAAATGGAAGTGAATAAAGCACACCTCTAAGGTTGTTTTGCCTTTGGTAGCTGATCAGAAAAGCTCAACGCACAGCATAGATAGTTTGACGTTGAAATTTTCTCCTATTAATAGAAGTATGATGAACTATATGTAAGAACGAGTAGATTTAATTTCTTCCATTAAAAACAACAAACTAGCCCAGCTGCCATCACAGTATACATATTGCATTTCAAGTCAGATGAACTAAATACTTCCTAATTGCACCAGTTTAACCTAATACAATTAAGAGATAGATATAGTTATAGTTTCATGAAATTATTTTCAAAACCAAGTGTTAAACTAAATTATTTTAATCAAAATATAAATTACATTTATAATTCAGCCACAAACGTACGAAACTATGCAACATTCTCTAGCAAAGAGCATTAATAAAATATCTAAAAAATAAGGTCTTACAGCCACAGAAACAAATGGCCAATACAAATTGGTCGTGTAATGCCAACAAACTTTGGTCAAACCATGTGCAATAAAAACTTACCAGAAAATCAAGACTTATGCTCTTATTTGCTCATTTATGCGCACCGAAGTCAGTCATTGTTGTTAGAATATACACACACAACACTCTTATATATAATGGCGAGAAAGTTAGTAGGCCATATTCTTAAACCAGCTTCAAAGCATGCCGGGGTATAATTGGTTGGTTCGAATAATAAAAGCAGAAAAGCGGTGTTTTTCTTTTTCTTTCAGAACATGCAAAAGAAATGCTAGTCTTGATCGGTTCTTTACCATCAAGCTTGGCCTAATGACTTCATTGATTTCACTCTTATATTAACTGTTTTTTTTTTTATAAACATTTTAGGGGTTAATGGAGATGTTCCAAGGGGTGGACTGTGTGCAGACATGGGTTTAGCTAAGCTGGCTAGAGTGGATGTGCTCCCCATTCTGCACCCGAGTTCGAATTCCCTTCCCTATAGTTTAGATTAAATTAAAGTAGAATATCGTTTGTATATTAAAAGGGTGGAGTGTGTGAATACATCAAATTTAGCTTTAATATGTATTGGATTCGAAGGAAAAAAAGTTGGATCCTTTTCGTGTTAATTAATTAAACTAGTATCACTCGGAAAGGCTACAGTGGTTCTCGTGCATTTCGTTGGAATAAATTAACTATGAATTAATGGATTTGTTCCTGTTGTATTCTTAGTAGTGGGAGGCAGACCAACCAAAACAAAAGTTGTGGAGGCTTATAAGCTCAAGAAAGGGACGATATAGACAGAGTAGAGGGACGTATGTGGGGGACTGAGGCCAATGCAAGCTCTTTTCCCTTGTCTGTCCCCTGTTTTTCCCCTGTTTTCCTCAACCCTAAATTTATCTTTAAAAAAATTTCCAATATCATGTACTGAAATTTATGAGAGTAATATCTGAGAAACAGTTTAGTATTATACACAATTATAACAATATTTTCAGCCAAATAAAAGTCTTGTCGGATATGTTTGTGCTTGACCCCTTCTTAAACTTGACCCCTGCTCGGTATAACTAATGGATCATGATTGATTAATTCCATTTTCCTCTAATAATGATATGATAATCCTGGCACCACAATCAACAAATATTGCATTAACTACGTACATTCCAAGATGCTCCGACCAAACATCAAACATTTAGGTTTGATATTGTAATCGATCTTCTTGTTTCTTTTTTCTAATTAAATTTCTAACATCCTAACAACTTATATATAACATTTCATCAAAGTGACAAATTAACAATTCTGTTATTGATGCGTAGGTAGTAAAGTTGATATAGATCCAAATTCCCAATGAGGAGTTGGGTTTAATCCTCGGATTTTGTGACTTTGATCTAAGTCCTTTTGATTTTTGTGACATATAAGATTACATTCTTTTTTTCGATTGTCTAACACTATTATAATGTTTTTTGTTTTTTTAATTTATTTTGTGTTTCCGATTATGTCCATAGTATATAATTCATGTAAGAACTTCGGACAATAAGTATCAAATTTAATGACGATTTTAATTTGTGTTGTTTCTTTATTTGTACGTCATTTGACTTTTTGAAATCTTAACCCCAAACAACAATACGCCATTTGGTTAATAGTTGCCGAAGTCTGTCCATGTGAAGTGAAATTAACAAAACAAATAACAATTGAAAATTGTGACTCTTTTCACTGTTCATGTTATGCTTACCCTGGCTTTACCTTTCTAAGGCTTGGCATGTTGTATAGTGGGTTTGTAGCTCAATCCTTTTATACCTTTGGGATAAAGGGTATAAAAAGGAGAAGTATGTTTAGGAGTGCTTCTAGAATAGCTAAAATCGTTTTTTTGACAACTAAAAGTGCTTCTAACGGCGTTTTGCGGAAAAATTTAGAAGCGCTTATGGATCATAGAAGTGAGAAGCACTTGTTATGTGCTTTTGTCAAATATGCGGTCATTTTCATCCTGAAATTTGAAGTAGTACTTCAGTAAGAGCTCAATAACGAAGGCGGCATCCACTAGAATGATTGTTACAAATTCATCACTGCTAAACTTGATGGGTTCTCCATGACAACGTCTCAATCTTGCTTCGTGGTCCTTTATTTTCTTAATAAAATCCTCCAAACTCACATTGGTCCGACCTATAAAATCTTGCAGGTATCTCTGTTTGTGCTCTTCCAATACGACATTCAAGCCTTCCTTTCCATGGTGAAGTGGGCCTATGGAGACCGCTTGAGGTGTGCAGAGCTTTTCATTCACACTTCGTAGTTGTTGAGGAACTCTGTAGATACAGCACTCGGATGATGGGGGAGACAAGCTATTGAACCCTTTTCTCATCGAATTTGCTAATGAAATGTATGGGTTTTCTATGTCATTTTGATCAGCTTGATTGCTTCCTGCCATTTTGCCAGCTCCTGACTATATGTGGTGTTCATGGATTACTGAATTACTGATAAAACAATCAAGAATACAATTCATTATTTTCCATTCCCAATAACGGAAAAAAAAGATTACAAAAACCAAATCAAAATGTTCAAGGAAATACAATCTGGATATTGCAATTATATAGCCATTCATAAGCTGCCTGGCATGGAAGAAGAGGTGGAAACCAAATATACTTATTGGCCAAAGTTCGAATTCACTATATATAGATATATATTATGCCAAAATCTAAAACTGACCAATCTTAGATACAAAAACACGGTACAGCCCTGTTAAAGTAATTCCAAGTGTAAAGAAAGAAAGGAATTGAGTGTTTGTACCTCTACAGCTAAACAAATTTTCTATTGATTCTTTAGATTTTAGTGAGCAGTTACTCCTTAATTTGGTAGATGTAGGACTGTGCAACTTCAAGCTTTAATGTAAGGGGACAAGTCAGAGAAAACGAAAATTTGCTCGGCTTCATTTTCAAATTTGCTGCTTAAAAAGGAAATTTAATATGTTTGTTTCACAAATTGTATTGTCATCAATGAAACTTGTGCACACCCAACGAAATTTGCATGGCTTGATTTTCAAAAGAGTGCTGCTATTTCCACCCTCTGTCTTATTTCCCCACCCACCTCATCTTCAAAATTTTAAAGACAAATAAACCCCTTTGTAAAATGCTTAAAAAGAAAGAAAAAGGACATGGGCTATAGCCCATACAGCCCAATAGCTGGATTCGTCCCTGCCCCGAACCCAACATGAGATTATTGGTTAATACATTTTTCTTAATTGTTTTTTTCGCCCCCATGTAAGTGTATCGAATCTAGCTTTAATATGTATTGGGTCCTCGGGACAAGAATTCTATCCTTTTCTTCCTAATTAATATGTATGTGAAAAATAATAAATCAATTATGATTTTATTTTTTACTATGGGTTCGAAATTAACTATGAATGGAGTTGTTGGAGGCTTAAAAGTTATAAGCTCAAGAAAGGGAGGAAAATATATGTACATTTGGGTCGGAGGCAAAGGTCCAGTCATCTACCGTCTATGATACACAGTATCGAAAAAGGCTTAAGAGTTGTAATAAGGTGACATATGCCCACATGCGGATGACGCTAGCATATTTCATAAATGTATTATATGTCTTCCAAGTTTATCATAGTTATGTGTCAATTTTAGATCCAATTGCACACACCCAAAATACAGAAACAAAATCATAGAGAATACACTTTTTTTCACTTATATTTTGAATATGCATTGCTTTATTTTTCGAAGAAAAATAAAATGTATTTCATGTGTATGAAATAGGGGCTTCACTTATGGTTTTTGCACAAAACCTCCCTTTATTTAATGACTGTAGTAGTATCTACCGACTTGAGATTTTCAATGATTTGTTACATTTGGAGTACCCAACATAACAGCTCTCTGATTAACAATAAAGTTATAAAATTTCAACAGTTTCATACCTAACAAGCACACAGCTCACTTTCACTAACCACAGAGGCTATATTTTCTACATATACAGTAACTTTTTCATTCTCCAGCTCACCGAGTTTTGAAATTTCTTGCATACATAAAGTAAATTTAGCCCACCGAGTTTTGAAATCCTGGATTCGTCCTTGTACATAGATTAAGGATTTGAGTTCACAGGCTTTCCTCGGATCCTTTATTTGATGAGGACCCGAATTTCTACTAGTTTCCCAAAAGTGTTCCTGCTAGAACCATGTGAGTGAATAAATAAATAATAAAAACAGAGACGAGTCTACATATTATTGTCAGAAGAGAAAGCGGCAAAGCAGGGACTTACCCTTTAATGGTTAAGTAGCAGAGATAACAGAGCACACCGTTTGTATGAGAGTGAGTGTGAGGAGAACAACAGCGGCAATGATCCTCACGTGTCCTTCTCCTAGAATTAGGATGGGCCAGGATCCTCACGTGTCCTTCTCCTAGAATTACTGGTGTAGGACTCTTGTATAAGCATTATATAATCAATATCAATACACACGTCCTCTGTACATTTCCAGAGGCTTATAATATCTCTTCACGCCTATTGCTCTGCTCTTGCTCTTGGATTCTTCAAGACGGAGTATACCAAAGCGAAATCGGCCTACATAGACAGAAAGGAGAGAGAGAGAGAGGAACACTTTTCTCTGTGAAATTGGCTCAGAAAATTATTCAATTTCCCCATCTCCCCTCTATCAGGTAATGTTTTGTTTTGTTTTTGTTGGGTTTTGGTTCAATTTTGATTTGGATGAATTTTTGTTGAATTTTGATTTTTTGACCTTTTTTTTTTTTTCCCGTTTCAGGTTGGTAATCTTGTGATTGTACGGCTATGGCTGTCACCGTGAAGCAGATCTCATTGACAGTGGCCTTTTTCGGTGTGCTCTCGTTCGTTTTCGGAGTGATTGCCGAAAACAAGAAGGTAATTTGCAATATACACTCCAAGTTTCTGTATGCATGCGATCATGTGGTTGCAAAATTTTAGCATGTTCAAGGGTTTGTTGGGTGAAATTGGTGTGGATTTTGTATCAGAAGAAGATTGATTGGTTTCATTTGAGTTTTGGGTCTATTTAATTTAATTTAATTTTGATTATTAAATTACTTTGATGCCCCATTGAGTGTTTTGGGTTTGTTTATGAGGTTTTGGGCTTGAGCTTGTTTTAAGAAATTAACGCCAATTTTGCAATTTATAAGAAGTTAAAAGCCTTTTTGTTATGTTGTAAATGAGTTTTGGGTGTGTTTCTAAAGTCCATTTCATATAAATTATTTTTATAATTTGGGCCTCTATATTGAGTATAATAGTGAATCTCCCATGAATTTAATTGAGTGCGGCAATGGGAAGTAATTAAGCTCTATATTGGTGGGTGGAGTGTTACTTCTGGGTACACCTCATCAGTCGTCTATAAAATGGTGAAGCCAGTTGCTATTGTTACCATAAGAGCCACAGCTCCGACTTTCTTTAATTTCTTGCTTCATATCCACTAGCTACATCTGTTGCCAAGTTAATTTCAGTCCTAATGGGGTTTCATCTCCCACTCATCTTTGCTCTTCTTAGTGTAAGCTCTGCAATTTGATTAACTTTTCCATTATCGCTCATTGTACTCTATATAAAGGAAAGTTTTGTGTTCCTATAATTCTCTCCGATTTTATTTACTACTCAAGTGTCGCCCACTCAAATTACACTTTGTGATTTGATTTTAATTAGAGTTCGAATTAATGTTGCAGCTAGCAGCGGTGGCATTGGCAAACCATGCTGCTCAACCAGCACCTCAACTTTACTAGAACTCCGTCCTGCCAAACACACAGATGCCAAGAGCTATCAGTGAACTTCTTCATCCTGGTTTGTGTTAAGCACTTTAGAATCTTAGATATCTCTTAATAACTTGTAAGAACGTACATGAGTAATTATAGTAATTATAGTATGGTACTAGAGTATGTACGGCAACATATTCACAAATGTGCCACTCACTCTTAAATCGGCTGATCACTTATTTTCCATTATGACGTTTATATATAATTTGCAGACTCCACAAATGAAGAAAAGAGCACAAATATCATGAATGCTGTTGGGAATGGAAAGCCAACTGACCACAAGGGTAAACCTGAATTTATCCCATTGGGAATGGAAAAATACGGGAAACGTTATGGTCCTTCCACTGACAATCCACTCCATTATAAAAACGCAACTATCTACTTCTTCGAGAAGGACATGCGCCCTGGCGCAACAATGAACTTCCAATTCCCTAGAAATTCAAACACGGCTACTTTCCTGCCACACGAAAGTGCTCAATCGATCCCCTTCTCCTCTAACAAACTATCAGAAATTTTCAACCATTTTTCAGTGGAGCCAACATCTGTGGAAGCCAAAACAATTAAGGAAACAATCGAAGAGTGTGAAGCTCCAGGCATTAAGGGAGAGGAACGATATTGCGTCACATCTTTAGAATCAATGGTTGATTTTAGCACTTCGAAGCTTAGAACAAGAAACGTTCAAGCAATCTCGACGGAGGTATTGGAAAAAGGAGCCACCATGTCCATGCACAAGTATACAATAATGCCTGGACTGAAGAAGCTGGCAGGTAACAAAGTCGTCGTGTGTCATAAGCAGAACTATCCCTATGCTGTGTTTTACTGCCATGCAATAAAACCAACGGCAGCTTATGTTCTCTCCCTGAAAGGCGATGATGGGGTGAAGGTTAAATTAGTAGCGGTCTGCCATCTAGACACATCAGACTGGAACCCAAAGCATTTGTCCTTCCAAATCCTCAAAGTTAAGCCCGGAACCATTCCCATCTGCCATTTCCTTCCCACTGATCATATTGCCTGGGTTCCGAACCACAAATCTGCATGATCATCACTTAGCACTGTACGTATAATAAGCTTGGTCGGGTTGCACCCCTGTATAATTATCTCCCTACTTATTGCTGCCTCTTCATCATGTGGTGTAAATGATGAGTTGAAGTTTTTGGGATTAGTGGTCGGGTTGCCTAAAAAACGCAGATTACAGAAACTGCTTGAAATTAACCCGATCATGTTCTCTCTTGTAACTATATAGACTTCAACTTGTACTCATAATAAAGCATGCTGTTGGGGGTTTCTACTTAATTTCGCTCTCCCCAATGTTAGTGTTGAATTGTTACGTTGGAATAGGCTGCTAATGCATGTAGTTAGAGAAATGCTACAACAGAAGCAAGATCAATCTCACTATATGCCTTCTAAACAAACAAACAAACAAATAAAACAAGCATATTAATTGCTTTAATCACTCTACAGAAAAGAAAAAAAGAAAAAAAATAAACAAGCATATTAATTTCTTTAAAACAAGCATATTAATTGCTTTAATCATCAACACAGCACACTTAGTTTACTAACAGATAATACAGAAAATAAAAAAAAGGACCAATAGGGAGAAAATGGTGAACTAAGGAGAGACTAATACTTCTGGTTCTTAGAAGGCATAACAGAAATAATAGCAAATTTGCCTTCCATTTGTATTGAAACAGCTGGTTCTTTAAAACAGCTGCAATGACAGAAATAGTTGCCCAAGGTGTATTGAAATAATGTTGCTTCAAATTTGCCTTCCATTTGTTCCAAGGCTTTCTGCAGTAGCTATTGAGGCGCTCAGAAAGAGTAGCAAAGTAGAAGCTTTCACGATCCACAGCAATTCCTCTTCCAAGGTTGTTAATCAGAGTGCACACCTCATTGTCGTCACCAAGCATATTTTCGACAATCCCATCCTTCAGAAGAAACTCCACATCCTTTTCAGTGTTCACAAAGTCATCCATGAGTGAAACATAATCACTTACGTAAATCTTTTCGCAATGGCACTGTTCAAAGGCAAGGAGGTTACGGAGTGTGAGCTCCGTGTAATCGTGTATTATTAATTTTGGAATTTCTAGAATCCCATCGTTGAATCGTATATCGAATAAGTTTCTGCTTGATCCCAACTTAAACTTGACCCCGGCCTGGTGTAGTTTTGTAATGCAGGGTGTAGTCATAATACTGTTGCTTGGCCCTTCATTACTTTGATCTGATTCCTCCAATATTGGAAGATGTAAAGTTCTTATAAAATCAAGAAAATGTTCAACTTTAGGATTACTACTAGAAGAAGAAATCCTCTGCAAACTGTCTTCTGCCCCCTCTAATTCCAGTGTCATTGTCAAGAACTCGTAAGAGAGATTAATCATTGAAAGCTTCTTACTGTTAGAAGAGACTGTAATTATGTCAGGGTCAAAAAGATCTTCAAGAATGAAAAATGGCAGTTGATTTTCAAGCAATTGCATGTCAGGCGCTATATAATGTATCAACCATGGTTTGTTTAATATGCGGTCATTTTCGTCATTTTCCAATCCAATGATATTGAAATGTTGACGGCAACATCTCAATAAGAGTTCAATGATGAAGGCGGCATCCACAAGAATGATTCTTACGAATTCATCACTGTTAAACTTTGTGCTTTCTTCGTAACAACTACGCAGCTTTGCTTCGTGGTACTTTATTTTCTTTACATACTCCTCCAAGCTTACCCTTAATCTCTCAAGTTGCAAGAATTCTTGTGAGAATGTCTACGTCTAATCACTCTGTCTTCTGTCGCCAAGACCTGACTTCAATCACTTCCCACCTTCTCCCATGCATTAAATGCTTATTTGTGGCCAGTGGGTTTGCTGCATTAAATAGGCACTACTTCATTAAATGAAGCATGGGTCCCTGCTATCACGTGACGATTTGACTTTAATATCTCTGGCCGTGATTTCTCTTGGCCTCGGCCTCGGCCTGCACTCGAGGCCGAGATGATCATGCCTTAGCATTTTTCTCTTGTTCTTAGGAAGGCAAAGCACCTTGTTGAAACGCTGCGTTTCAGTGTTACGAGCAAGTGCCATGGCCGAGAAAGGGAGCTCTTTCGGCCGGCTTATGGCCGTGATTTATTAGGCACAAACATCACGTTTAGCGCAGGGAAGGTGTGAGGAGGCTTTGCAAGGCGTTCCAAGGCGGAGCGAGGCGCAGGAGAGCTAACACTCTGAAACGGAAGAAATTTTCACCATTCTGCAAATTGGTGCGGCTCCAATGCAACGAGGAAGACGACATGTTTTTCATAGGTTTTTTCTAACAAAACGACGTCGTTTGATTGGAGTGTTCAAAAAAAAGAAAAAAAAAACACACGCATGATTGTTTTTTTTTTTTCGCTTCCCTGTGTTTTTTGTTGTCCCCACTTGTTGCTTTCCTTTATACAATCAATGTTCTTTCCTTTTATATTTCCAGCCGGTCTCTACTTACCCCCCCTTTTTTTTAGAATTTATGTTCTAAATTAATATATTAACACATGGAATTATATATATATATATATATATAGTAAAACCCTAATTTCTACCCTTACCAAATAATCTCCATTAATTTGAAGAATTCTCTTCGTCTTTCGATTGCAAGTAAGTATTTTATTTTTCTTTCTAATTCTTGTAAGTATTTTATTTTTCTCTCTAATTTTTCGCAACTATAATTTGAAATTCCGTATAATTGTTTTTTAATTTTTTGAAAAATATATTAGTTATCTTATTCGTTTATGTGATATAGTAAAAATTTGACGTACATATTTTATGTTTTGGGATTGATTATTATGTTTTGAATGATAATTAGTACTTATATTTAATTATATTTAAAAGATTGTTATGGTTCAATAAAAATTAGTTGTACAATTTAATTATATTGTATTATTCATAAATTTTTCTTATTAAAATAAATTAATGTTCAAAAGGCTTACGCCTCGCATAGCGCTACTAAAAACGCCTCTAGGCTGGTGACAAACCCAGCTCTATTTTTTTTCATTCTCCAGCTCTCTTACACGTCTAGGCTGGTGACAAACCCAGCTCGTGTCATGTGGAGGACCAAAAGGAAATGACAAGGAGAAAACGGCTAAGGAGAGACTTACTCTCAACGCTTAGAAGGCAGAGCAGAGATAACAGAGCACACTGCTTGTATAAAAGTGAGTATGAGGAGACAAATAGCCGCAGCAATTGAAATAGTTGCCCAAGGTGTGTTGCAATAGTTTTGTCTCAAGTTTGCCTGCCATTTGTGCCAAGACGTTCTGCAGTACTCGTTGAGTTCTTCACAAAGAATAGCAAAATAGAAGTCATTAGAGTCCACAATGACCCCATCCGCAAGGTTGTTAATCAGAGTAGACCCTCCACTGCTGTCACCGAGCCTATTTTCCACAATTCCATGCTTAACAAGCAACTCCACATCCTTTGCGGTGTTCACAAAGCGATCCATGATGACAACATAATCGTTTATGTAATTCTCCATGCAATGGCATTGTTCAAAGGCAAGGAGGTTTCTGATTGTAAGCTCTGTCTCATCACTTATTGCTAATTTTGGAATTTCTAGAATCCCATTAGCGAATCGTATGTTGAATAAGTTTTTCGGTGATCCCACCTTAAACTTGACTCCTGCTCTGTGTAACTCTGTGATGCTGGGTGTGTTTAGAGTTTCAAGTGGCCCTTTAGCATGTGGTTTCAATGGTAGAGGTAGATACAAATTTCTACAAAAATCTACAAAGTGTTCTACTTTAGAAGCACATAATTTCTCCATATTGCCATCTGTTCCCTCTATATGCATTAGAGTTTTGAAGAAATTGTGGCAAAGGTTGAGTATCGAAAGCCTTTCAATATTGTTATTGTTAGAAGAGACTTTGATTTTGTCGGGGTCAAAAAGTTCCTCAAGAATGAAGAATGGCAGCTGATTTTCGAGCAACCGCATGTCAGGCCAAACGTCCTGCAACATCCATGGTTTGTTAAATATGCGGTCATTTTCATCCTGCAATTCATGGAAACGATACCTCAACAAGACCTCAATGATGAAGGCGGCATCCACTAGAATGATTCTGACAAATTCATCACTGCTAACCTGAATGGTTTCTGCATAACAACTGCGCAGTTTTGCTTCTTGGGCTTTTACTTTCTGTACATAATCCGCTAGGCTTACCCTGGTCCGACGTATATAATCTTGTAAGTACCTCTTTTTGTGATCTTCCATGGCTTTTAGGCCTTCCTTGCCATGATGAAGTGGGCCTATAGAGACCACCTGAGGTGTGTAGGCCTTTTCACTCACACGCCGTAGTCGTTCAGGAACTCTATAAATGCAACACAAGGAGGAGAGGGGAGACATTGAAGTTACTAATGGAATGCAAGGGTTTTCAATATCATGTGGAGCTTGATCGCTTCCTTCCATTTTCCGCTGATGTGTTTGTTGTTGTCAATCGTAATGGATGATAATGAAATGATAGTCACTGACACAACAATAAACAAATTTTTCAAGATGGTTGAGAAAATTAATACAAACATTGCAACTATATTCCTCTGCAACTCATAAGACCAAACACACACAGACTTTTGATCCTTGGAACTCTTACATACCACACTAAATTCATTCAAAACTCTTCTGGTCAACTCTGTTTCTTGTAATTATTCTTGGAAGATTCTAATGCAGTTTTGATTCAAAAATTCCTACTAATCATGTGAATCAGTACGAAAGTTTATTTTACATTAACATACAAACACCCTCTTCTTTTTCTTTTTTTAATGTGTTCGAAAGGAAACGAATTGAAAGTCTTGAATGAATTATTACATTTAAAAAAAAATATTTTTCGTGTTCTGCATTATTGGAGCTTCTAATAAAACAAATTCTTTGTGTAATGATATCAGATAGTAGATTATGCTTCCAGTCAAAACATAGACAAACCAAAATCCCATTAGAAGAGAAGAAAATTATATGCGACAATCACAAAACCTTTTGCTCAATTCCAATTTCCAACTAAAATGAAACTCAAGACACTTTAAAGCTTCAAGAAATTGGATGTGCAAGCAAACATAGAAAAATAAAGAAAGACAGAGAAAGGAGTTGGGCATTGAAAACATACCTGCTATGGATTGAAACCCAAGTTTTTTTTTGCCTTTGGTAGATGAGTAGCTAAAAAAGCTCAATGCAGATAGCTTGCTCTTCTGCTAGATTTCAATATAAGAACTAGTGAAGCTGGTTTGGAAGTCAGGTCAACTCCTCATGTAGCTTCCTTGCCTTTGCCTTGACATGTCTATGCACGTCCTGGGAAAGTTTTAATAATCCATTGCAGGCCCCACGACAACTAAAGAACCAACATTTTGTACAAGGGTTTGTCTATACCTTT